AACGATAATTTTTAAGGGCTAATGCTGTGTTACACTCCTTTCTAAAGTTACGATCTTTGAGTTTTTGGCTTTAAACTTTCTACGCGGAAGGCACACAAGAGAACGACGAATTCATAAAGTAGAACACCGTGCCTCGCGATGTTGTCTAAATGCGAAAAGTTATGGGAACATAATGATTCACTTTTTAATTTGTACAGTGTAGAAGGATAAAGCTTCAAAACAATTTCATATCATATATTAACATAACTTTTTATGCAATAAAAAAAGATAAGAAGAGAATCCTGTTTACACTTAGAATATATTTTATTAAGTTTATAACATAGGAATTTTAAAGTTATTTACAAATTTGATAAAAATAAAAACTTTATAAATCTGTTATTCCAACGCCTGGAATCACTATATGGATATGTTTTAGGACATTGTTTCTTCCTTATCATGATATACAAATTTATATCTTTCTGAACAATTTGAACATTTAATCTTTTCTTTCCATTCTTGACTTGTGATTTATGTCTAAATTATTTTATTCCAAAATTGATGTAGATGGTTGAATTAAATTTTTAATTTATTTTAAATTTTCTTTTAACATCATTCATTGTTCCGCATTGATGTTTCGCAAATGGCATCTGCTAACGCTTTTATTTTCATCTAGAAGTTTAATATAGCATAATCGATTAGTGCTATTTAATTAACCCTGGCTGCGCAATATATAATACCTTTCTTCTGATTGGTCAATCACTTACAATTGTATTAATACAGTTTAAATCATTTTTTAAAGGATGTAACATTTTACAAGTAAAAAATTAAACCCATATCTCTCTTTGAAGAAGCGCCAATATTTACTATGCAAAATAATCCTAAATAATCCTATACCTAGAGGTACCTTACCTATATATTGTAACTAAGATATTACAATATCTTCCAAAGGATATTTGCATAATGCAGCTTTCAATTATAAAATGTATTTCATTTTTAATGCTTGATATAGAATATTGAATATCAAGATTTTTTTAAGTTCAAAATTAAACAAATTTTCATTTTATTATTTTATTTGGTATATTTACATGATTTATGGCTAATTCACAAATAATTGATAATATACATATGTTAAACAATTTTAAAAATAATAAATATCTAATTATTTTCCAGATCTTGAAGAATAAATGAATCACTAATTGTGTCAAATACTATTCTTTTATCTTTGTTTTGTTGATTTGAAAGAATCAAATTAATTATATCTTGTTTTACAATCGATGTAACAGATTTATCAAACTTAATGAATTCTTTATCATCATCAAATAAAAAAACACAGTCCGCATAGTCTTCCAATTTAGAATTGATATTCTTTGGATCGTTTTTATTCCAATGTATTTGAACACATAAATTAAATTTACAATTCTTCAAAAAAGCTGGTCTGTGAAGATGCTGAATCAATGGTTCTTCCATAGTATCTGATGGATTTGGCTCGTAACATATGAAATAACTATATTTTGATTCATATTTTGCCAGATTATGAGCGTTTGGAAAGAAATTTAAAATAAGTTTTTTGAAAACAATGTTTGTTGATTCCTTCTCGTAGTTTTCAGGATGTTCACGTTTAAAAGTACAATAGAACACCGAATTAGATTTAAATTTTTTATTAGGTGTATGATCAGTTTGGATTTCTTTTCTTTTGTTCATGTTTATTTTGTTTAGTGTTCAAAATTTGCTAGATTTTGATCTTTAAATAATTATTTCATCGGGATTTAAACCCCATGCTATGACTTTATCAAGTATTTGTACATTAACCATTCGGACAAAAGACCTTTTGCAGTAAAGTACAAAGAATTTTGATATTAGACTTATTTTTTTTGTTTTAAAAATCTACTCAATGTTACATACTTTAATGATATCATAAGAAATTGTCGCGTATATGTATAGAATAAGATGTTTAGTGATATATAATTTTAATGTTACATATTTTACCAATTACAAACTACAGCAAAAATAACCACTTGGTCAAAACATATTAGTAACATGTAAGACACCATTTCTTAACCACTCAGAAATATAAAAGATTAAAATTATCTTTGTTTCAAGATTATTTACTGATTATGCGAAAAGTTTATGCCACTCTTAAATTTAGTACAGGATATAAACAAAGAAATGGAACTTAAGTATATTAAATTCATAAAAATGTCCTTAGTACATTCCTAACCATAGAATAATTATTTTAGTCAGAATAATTAGACTCTTTTCATATACATTAGTTAAAAAAGAGCACCGAGTATTTAAATTTTTTTTTTGCTAACCATCACATGACTTATTTCAGCATCCATCAGTGCCGAAATATCTCCTTCTGCTATACTCTCCGAATTATTCAAGACTAAAACTGAGTTAACTATTTGGACAAAAGATGTTAACGAAAGTAAGAATTATCTCTTATGATTAACCATTCGGATAAAAGACCGTTGTAAAAGGCAGGATACAAAGAAGTAAGTCTCCGTTATTCCCAAATGAAGTCTTCACGCATAATAAATATGTAATTGTAAAATAACTGTTCAGTCAAAAGACTATATATAGACTTTAAAGTAACGCGTAAGATTCCATTTCTTTGTTTCAGCAATATTCATCCCTTATATATAGAATTCCAAATTAAATCTATATTGAAACGGTATAGTATACGAATAAGTTAACCACTTGGAAATGCTCAAGGATATTTTGTTTGAAAGTGTCCTTGTTTCGTGAAAATCTATGCTTACAGTAAGTAAAATATTATGAATATGTTTGCCACTTTTACAGTAAGTAAGATACAGTATTAAACAAAGAAATGTAGCTAAAGTATGCGAAGAGATTGGACCCAGTATGATTAAATATATATATGTAAACTAAGATATTTATTACGCGTAATAAGACGAATTGATATGTCAGAACCCATATAATTGGATTTACATGTTTTATTCATTACAAGTTGCTTAGCAAAAGTAACCATTTGGTTAAAA